CCAAATGGTTAGAATTAATGGAGAAGGTATAAATTGAAGGTCAAAGCTTCCCGAGGTCATCAAGAATCATATTGAACCAATCTATCAACATCAAAGCTTAGTTTTGTGCTTAATTTGTAAATTCTTTGTTGTAAACACACTTGTGAGTTACATTATTTATTTTGCTCAAGTGTAATTTGGGTGAGAGCTTAATTAGTGCAAACTTATTTGCCTTTTTAAAGTTTTTTTAGTTTGCTAAATTTGTAATTACTCTTTGGGAGAGAGTGTATTCAAGGTTTTGGGTATAAACCTTGAAGGGTTTGTGAGCTTAATAATCTTCACTTGAGTAGCCCATTACTTGAACGTAAACAAAAATGAAAAAACACAAGCTGATATTTCAAAAAAACAATTTCATCGGCACAACATCAATTGTTACATGATGATAAAAGATATTGACATTTTTTCCTATTATGGCATAGGTTTCTGTAATGCCCATATCTTTTTTTTTTCTTTGGACGTCTCTTGAATATCCATATCACAATGAATTTGAGTGGATTTTGGATGACCTGTGTCCCTTAAGAAAGACTGATCTGGTACAATCAAAAGCTAATTCTGAACCTCGTTTAGGTTTTTCTCATTACTTATGGGGGAACTCAAATTCATATACCTTAAATACTTCTTGAAAGTCGATATACGAGATATAAAAACGGTTAAAGTCTTGATATTTATAAGAGCAAGTTTTTATGACATGAGAGCATGTATACTTCAGATCTTGAAAAATCCCACAGGCACACCACTTGTCTTGTAGATTAACTTTGAACGAGTTAGTTTCAATCCATTGAAGAGGTCATGGCATTTATGTGACACAAAATAATTCATAGGTTTGAGAGAAGCTAGTTACATACATTCCATTTGAAGCAACAATTCTTTTTTGTAGATCTGCAACTAATCTTGGGTGATAAACATGACCGTTTTGCATCTAAGTTTGAGCTTGGCCACCGAGCTTGGCAAAAAGTTCTCCTAAACAAAAATACGTCATTTTAACCAAAGTTGTAACTGGTAAATATCACGCCCCCTTTAAGGTCGATTGATAGCCTCAACCAAGTTGGTCATCATGTGTCCATATCGATATCCACCATCATATGCATTTATCCATATTTCTTTGTTGATGAGGCTGATATAATTGTATCATTGCTCTTTTTTCCCTCGTAATTCTTGAAGCATGAATCAAATGTCTGAGGTAGTAGTTCGTAACCTGAGCGATTTATGTAGTACTTATTGTTAAGTTCCCATATAAAAAAGTAAATTCTACAAAAATAAAATTAAGAAATGTGACATACCCATGAACACAAGTAATTATCGTTCATCATTCTTCTTGAGCTTTCCATGATAGTTCGTGGCAATATGTCGGACACAATACCTATGTTGGACATAGGGTGGTTGTCACATTGGACCCAAAGAGTCTGTTGTTGCTTTGATCCTAGCTCCGCGATCTGAAATGACACGTATTTTTTCCCTCGTGACAACATGTAAGCGTAAGTTTTTGAGGAATAATAATTTGTATCTTTTCTTTAAACAAGAATAAAAGCAACTAGAATAATATTGTGATTATTATCTTGAGCAACTGTCAATAATAGAACTTGCTTATATTTTCCATACAAGAATGTCCCATCAATTTGGATCACAGGCTTGCAATATTTTACAACATTAATGCACTGTGGGTAAGTCCAAAATAGCCGATAGAATTGGCATCGATTGTGAAACACTCATTCATTTTTTTATGCATGACAAGTTTTGAAGTCCACTATTTTCTCAGGATTCAGTCTACGCACTACTCTAAACCAACTTGGTAGTTCATTGTAGGATGAATTCCACTCACCGTGTAGTTTTTTAATAGCATTTTGCTTTTCATTCCATGCTTTCATATAGGAGATTGTGTACCCATATTGAGATTGTATAGCTGAAATCAGTACATCAATAGTTATATGGAAGCTTGCTTTGACCATGGGCATGATGGCTTGGCAGATAATGTCGAAGTTCAAGTTGGGATAGTCTTGGTTGATCCCTCTAGCACAACATGTATGAGGACATTTGTATATTGTTAGTTATCATATGTTATTTTTCCTCTTCCTCTTCGATACACGAACCATCCAGTTACATCTGTTATCATGTTGGACACAATAGCATACATACTTTTCGGTGGTGGATCGGTCGACTCTGGAGTGAACTGAATTACGATAGTTGTAATTATTAATAGCAATCACCGCTTCTTCTTTCGATAGAAACTTCATTCAGATATATAACTCACTATCATTGACTGATGAGTTAAATCCATATTCACAAACATTAGGCATATGCGCAAAATTTGGCCTGTATATTGCACCATAACCAGCTTCATACATTTGTGATGGAGGTTCGGTGTATACCGTAATTGTTGGAACTTCTTCTATATCATCATCATCATCAGAGTTTATGTTAAACTGCAATGATCTGGCTTATCGAATAGTCCAATATCAACACTTGGCTCACAAAGCGGTTCTTCTAGTGGAGATGAGGGTTCCTCTGCGGTGCTAATATTTAGTTCGAACAAGTTGGTAGTTGAATTATTCCCCTTGAACTTGAAGGCATTGTGTCATACAGGTTTTGGACAGTGTTGTGTCGCAGGTATCTCGACATTGAGATCGAAGAAGCTCGCAGTTAAACGCTTTCCCTTGAAACTTAAAGGCGTTGTGTTAAATGGGTACTGAACAGATTATTGTATCGATGGAATCCCCATATTCAAGTCAAAAATTGGCATATGAATGTCTTCCCCTTGAACTAGAAGTGACGTTGCCATACAGATTGTTCGTGGAGCCACCTCGATAAGCTTCGTAACAAGCTGCTGACGAATGCCTCCCCATTGAACTTGATGGGATGGTACCATGATGTGGATTTCCCATTATGACGTTAAAATCATTACACATTACTATAACCGGGCTGTCAACTTGATCAACTTGTTGAGCCAGCCTATAGTAGGAGTATAATGGCATACCACGAACCGTAGACACTTCAACAAATACCGCATACATCTGTGTATCGGCGTCTGAATTTTGATTATGAGAATCAACCATCATAGCAACATTTTCATCGTTGGAGAGTTCGAACGTTGTATAAGTTAACGAAAATACTGCTGTTGGAAATCTATACTGAAGTGAAGACAGTCTTCTAGTACTTCTAACATGAACCTTCCTTGAAATTTTAGTGATCAACTCCTCAAGAGTGATGTTTCTCTTGAAGGATATTCTGACAGAATGATTTGATACAAAGACAATGTATATTTCATCTTCCTTAATTTCTCCATCATAGTAAAAATAATTGAAATGCACCTTATTTTTAGAGTTTAAAAGTTTGAAATATTGAGAGTCTTATATATGCAAAAATAATATATTAAATACACATAATTAAATAAATAATATACGAACTTAAAAATAAACTAATGTTAAAACATTTTAAAAAAATCCACAGTAAATTTAATAATACAATTTAATATTGTTACCGTCTCGAAAAAATATCTCGAGATTTGATCATGCCTTCTAATTTATACCAGTACAAAATAAAACAAAATCATTAGTACAAAAAAATTTGGTCAAATAATTAAATATAAAATAAATATAATATAATAATAAATAATTTTACCCTCTAAGAACTATAATAAAATCTAATTAGCTTGATAGAAGGAAGAATGCGAAAGTAATTTTGGAGTGGTTCGATGTTTGCATTCGAGGTATTTATAGGGAGGGGAGGGGTGAGTCGCTGAGCTTTAAGGCTCGGGTAATAATGGAGGAACAAATAATTCAACGTGAATAATAGAAGGCGCAAATGATGATTCACGCCTTCTGCAGCGTGCCAGTTTTCCCCGCGAAGGCGAGGATGATTATCTGCGCTTTGCCCGTGTGGTGCCAACTAGGACGAAAATTCAAGGAATGAGCGTTTGGTGATCCGTGCCTTCCGTCTATGTCAGCAAATGGATGTTAGATCGATAAAATTTGAGAATGAGTATATGATAAGTAATTATTGATTGTTAGGTGCTTTTTAGGTAAAACGCCCAGGTTGGGACCAACCTTAGAAAGCCGAATAGGCTTCCACCACCCTTCCGTCACAGTACAATGGATGACTTGAACGAGTCTTTCCATACAAAGCATAAAGAAATAACGAGATAAAAATTCATCTTGACGAAGGCTTCAAGCAAATAACTAATAAAATACTTTTACTAACTGCAGAAAGAAAGATCAGCAATGAAAAACTCAACACTTAATTGTTTTTAAAAAAGAAAAATCTAATAAATATTAATGCAGTAAAAAAATAATTACGTGGACATGGTCTATATTGTAATAAAAAAGAACTCCACAAATTTGTCACTTGTCTGCCTAGCGCGTTTCGTCAAGGATATTGCGTATTGGAATGAATTTAACCTAAATTATTATTTAATGATAAAAATATTTAAATTTAATGATAATATAAAAATCTTAACATAAAATAAAATTTAAATATCTAAACTTTTTTTAATCAACTAAATAATTATCCATCAAATCTATAATATACAAACAATAAATATCATTTCAATCTTAATTACAATAAATATTAAATTCCACCCAGAAGAATTCTTGTCTCTTCCAATTGTAAAAATAAAATCATCTGGATCAGTGCCTGAAACGTGATCAACTTATGAGAGGAATTTGTCAAATAACCCAATTATCACCAGAATTTCTTAGAACTTTCCCAAGTGGCATCGGGGTGACATTCACGAGACGTTGTCATATTCCAGGAAAGTGCTACGAAAATGATAAAGATGGGTAGAAAATAGATTCAAAAAGTCAGTTTAGAAACGACATTGACCCATGATTTCTTTATTCTTCAATTTATTACTGTTTTAACAATGACCATGATAATATTTATTATAAATTTTCTCACTATAGTGAGTACTATAAATATAGATTTAAGCTCGGTTGAACAACAAGATCGAGTAAGTAGAGGAGGAAAAAATGGAAGGAAAGCGTTGGTGCTTGATTTTGATAGCGTCGGTGTTATGCATAAGCATGTTGAACGGCGGTGGCGTGACGGCACAAAGCGCGGCGGAGTGCAAAGAAGAGAGGAGAATACTTGTGAACGCATGCAAGGGCCTGATAACACGAAAGCCCCCAACACCATATTGTTGTGAGAGGTTGAGGGTTACCCATGTTAACTGTGTTTGTCCTGTAATAACGCCTCAGCTAGCAGCTTTGATCGATGTCAACTATGCTATCAAGGTTATTCAGGGCTGCGGAAGACAAGTCCCCCGCCATTTCAAATGCGGAAGTAAGCTTCAAACATCTTATTATTCCGTGTCCGTTTTTTATTACGAAAGAATTATTATAATTACACGAGCTCAATAGTGATGTTTTCGTTGTGTATGCAGGTATAACCACACCATGAGAAGATTATGCTTTGGAATAGTCCATAATTCATTTCCTTTTATGGTATGATTATGGACACTTTGTTGTCTTTTTTTGTGCATTTGAATGTTAAGAGTTGTTCGTCGTCCACATACGGATAATGTTTGTTGTCTCTGTTTAAATAAGTTTGTTTGCTGGTACACATATGTTTGGTGTATTCAATAGGCCAAGATTTTATTACTGCTATACAACTCATAATATATTGAATAAAACCATAATGGTTGAATCCTTTCATTTTAGTAACTCGTTTCTTTTTCAAGTTTTTGTGCTCGATTGTATGAGTTTTTGTGAAAAGATTGGAACGATATACATATTTTCCTTTTAAAAAATATTTATCTTTCAATCAATAATTATTATTATTTATGATTTTTTTACGATTATTGATAATGGATTCATTGATTTTAAAACTAATTATAATTTCCAAACATTATTTTTGCATGGGTTTTGAAGTTGAATGTAAAATTTTTAGATTTTAAGTTTGAGAATGCTCTAAAATGACTTTAAACCCTTCAAGAACATTAGCTAAACATGTAAGGAACTTCAAAAGGACTTTAAACGCATAAAAACAACAAACGCCATTAAAGGTGCATTAAGTATGCTATGACACAAAACATTTAGCGACCAAAGTAAACAGCACATATTTCACTCATGAAATACATGGAGATAGATGTGTATTACCTTCCTAGCCCAAAAACTCAGCCTTTTCTTTTAACCTTCAATGGTTAAACCTTTACCCTTAGTTTTAGAAGTCTCTTGTTTCTCCTTGACTACCAACACCACATGGAAGATGATATTCCAATGATTAGGAAGAGTGTAAAAATATGCTTAGAAAGTGAAAACGAATATGAAAATGATTCATGGAGCATCCATCTCAAATGGATATGACAAAGGTTGAGAGAAGATCCACATGGTTTGGATTTAACAAAGGTTCCAACAATTCTTGCTTTGATTTATCTAGCAGTACTAGGTTTTCCAAGGTCAAAGAGAAGGGTGGCACCCTTAAGGACTCCCTGCTTGATCAATGGTTTGCTATTGTCTTACCACTTTCGGATGATGGTCAATACAAATCCGAATATTAAAAAAACACTTTTTTTACTATTAAAATCATTTAATGAATTATATATTTTATAAAGTTAAACAAATGCATTATTACTTATTGCAAGAATTGGCAATATTATACATGATTAGATAACACAAGAAATAATTGAACTATAGAATAAAATATGATACGAAATAGAAAAATAAAACAAATGTTTTATAAAATTATTATATAACAAGATACATTAAAGATAACACAAAACTGTTCCTTATTTCACGTGAAACGGAAAGATTTTCACTGTACTGAGCAACTTAATTTTATGGTAAAGAAAGGCAATTAAGTTTCACTTACACATTTAATCAAAAAAAAAGTTTCACTTACACATGCAAATTATTCACTTTCCTAAAAGGGAAAAGCAAAGAACAGTAAATCACAGGCGGCCACAGTCATAATCAGTATGACTTTTCTGGTTTCCAAACATGAGAATCAAACCAGCAATGCCCAAAACTCTCTTCATCTTCGACATATTGTCAAGTGTGAGTCCAATGAGATACGTCTGCAAAGAAAGCCAGAAAACCCTCATCCTACGCTCCTTAACATAGAGATCCATGGCTTCCTCCGTCAACTTTTTTCTTCCATCTCCGCTTTCATTATCGGCTTGCTTTAATTTCTCCGACAAGCATCTCGCCAGCACCACGGCGTCTTCCAGTGACGCCCCACCACCTTGCGAGATGAAAGGACACATTGCATGCAGTGCGTCCCCCGCCACCACCACAGTGCCTTTTCGGAACTTGGCTCGCGCTATGTCCCACGGCGCCCTGTACCGGAGTTCAGTCAGGTACAAGGCTTTTGGATCTGTATTTTTCACCATTTCCACCACTTTCTCCGGGAATCCCTTCAATGCTTCGACAGAGACTTGTTTTATATATGTTGGATCCTTCTTTGAATCGCTCAAATCTGTCGATTGTATCATGAAATTGAATAACATCGGGCTTATGACATATATGTCTCCAATATAGTATCAAGTATATAAAAATATACCTTGAGAAGTTAAGGATCGAGTCAAGAACCAGTAGGCAAGCTTATCTGTTACAGGAAGTTGTCCCAAAGCAACACCACAGGCGTCATGTACACGAAACTTATCGCCAAAAGGATGACCATGTTCGTAATAGGTGAACCCTCTCGCCGCACATCGAGAGAAAAGCTTTGGGGGATTTACGCCTACAAATTTTGAGATTATGGAGTTCATACCGTCGCATCCGATTACAATCTGTCATCAAATAACCACACATTGCTCCACTTCTAAGCAATAATTTACCCACGATCCATTATTTATCGTAGTTCTCACTTTTTTTTCTTTAGTTTTTAATAAACGGAAAATGGGGGACTAGATTCACAAATGCGACAAGGATGGTCAGCATCTCTGTCGCATAGATCTATAAAAGTGGGAAATCTTTTTATATTAAACTATATTTGGGTAAACTACAATTTAGTATCTTGAATATCACTTTTATTCTGTTTTAGTCATCTAATTATTTTTTTAAATCATACATAGTGCTACATTTTTATTTTATTTTGATTACCCACTATTAAAAAATTAGCAGTGATTCTGATGTGTCACCACAAGGTAAGATTACATCATCATTCAAAATTTAAAAAATATCACATCAGCAATTCTGTTAATTTTCTAAAGGCGGGTGACCAAAATAAAATTAAAACATAATTTTATATATGATTTCAAAAAACTAATATTTTTGTGACACAAATAGAACAAAAATGATAATTAAGGTGCTAAATGTGTAGTTTACCCTTTATATTCATGTATTAAGTTTTTAATTTAATTAAAAGTAGAATAGCAATGGCGCACCTTGGCTTTAATAAGAGTACCGTTGTGAAGTTGAAGAACGGGATCGGAAGTAACGGGATCCGTTACGATGGAAACCACTCGGCATCCCAGATGCACACTCTCCGCCGGCAACGCCTCCGCTAGTGTCGACATAAGCTCCATCCGCTTCAAACAACGTAATTCCCCTTTCCTAACAAATACACGAATTAATAAAATAACAAATGGAATTAATTTTTTTTTACATCGGTTTATAGATATAATTAATTAGAAAAATATTTCACATCAGATCCAGCCTACCCAAGGGGTAATTCTGATTCACCAAACTTGCCGTCTTCAACTTTTATAAATGTTCCCCTACATGCATATATTTCATTTGATTTAATAATGAATATTATCAATTAAAAGAATAAATATTTATATATAAATACAATCATTTCTAGCACTGTCGATAATGTATATTTTTTAATTGATCTGATGTTATAAGAAAATCTAACATTATTATTATTGAATAAAATTAACAAATATTACTTGATAATCGGATAAATAATTAATAAATGTATATATTAAATCATTATTATTATTATTCTATTATATCTATGATCATTTGTTAATTAACTTTTTAAATACTATATATTTTTACATAAAATATTTTTATTCAACAAATAATGAATGATAAATTCTAGTGTTATATGAAATATAGATCTATATAATATAAAATGATAGATTGAATAAATATCACAAGTATTATAACTCAATTGAGAAATTACTAAAATATTATTATTTTAAAAGATAATTAATATTACTCTAAAATTATTTTATTTTTTGTATTTTTATATAATTTGTACATATAAAAACTAAAAATATTATTTAAGAATAAAATGTGAGATTAATAAATGTATATAAAAATTTATTATAGAATTGAACTTAAAATTTAATATAAACTAATATTAAAATGATTTTTGTTATTATACGACAAGTTTTTTTTGACACTAATAACGACTCATTAAATCATTCATAAACGACTTTTAAAATAATTAATACATTGTAACTTGTAAATTCAGAGGAGAATACGACAAATTATATATATATAAAAAAGTAACATGATGAAGCACGTCGGCGGTGGAATACGCGCGGCGGCGGGGGGGGGGGGGGGGGGGGGTTCTGTTGGAGGTTGCGTCTTAAGAATAGACAGCCAGAATTGTTTTAATTTTCATTTTCTTGTCGTTAGGCAAGTAAAGCTTTGAGATTTCGTTTTCTAGTATTTAATTTTCTCTTCAGATCCATTTAAGAGTACGTTTCTTTAACCGAAAAACGTTTTATGATTTTTGGAATATATTATTTAAATTCTTTTTTCATTAGTTAATGATTTTTTTAAAAAATTATTTATTATAAATATTAAATATAATAAATAATATTATTTATCATAAAATTTAATTTTAGTAATTTTAAATTATTAAAATAATTTATTTATTATTAAAATATTATATTAATAAAAATATTAATATTGGTATATTTTATTGAAATAAAAATATTATAAATTATATTAATTATTATTAAAGTAATAGTGTTATATTATATTTTAAAAATATTAATTAGTATATTTTAAATATTTTTATTAAAATATTATTAGATTATTATATTAATATTAAATATATAAATAATATTATTCATTATTAATAATTTAATAATATTATTTCTATGAGATTAATAAATAATATAAATTTTATTAATAATTTATTATATATTATTAAAATAAAAATATAATATCTTATATTATATTATTATAATATCTTATATTATTATAATATAATATAATTGATTATTTTATTATAATATTAAAAATATAATATTTATTATTAGGAATATTAATAAATATATTTTAAATATTTTAATAATTAATATTTTGATTAAAATGATATTAATATATTTTATTACTATTAAATTCATAAAATAAAATTATTTTGAGTATTTATTTTTTGAAGTGAAAAGTTTAGAAAATGACTTACAAAAAATCAGATCATAAGTTATTTTTCAAAAAACACAAAGGAAATTCTGTTGACTGGAAAAATATTTACGTTAACCAATCATTTTTCTTTCAACTGAAAAATGAAGAAAACATTTTTTTTACGTGAAACAAACTGATCCTACGTTTCATATATATATATATATATAAAAGGTTTTGAAGAGGGTGGTAAGCTTACGACGGAATTTCAGTGCAAGTCTGTCGAAGCTTAGGGGCAACGCCCAACTGATCAAGTGCCCGCCATCCGTTCGGCTGCATAATGATTCCAACGCCGGCGGCTCGCAGCGACTCCGATCTCTCTAACACCATGCTCCTTATCCCTTTCCTGCAAAACACAAACTACACACCTACATATTTCCACTTGAATCGGCCGGAAAGAAATGGTCGAGAGAGCTTCAGGCTTCGAACACCGGAAAAGCTGCCAGTTCTTTAAAAAGAAAAGGAAAAGGAAGTCATCCAGATAGAGGAGGCGGAGGAGTAAAGGACCTGTGAAGAGCAAGTGCGGTGGCCAAGCCACAAATGCCACCGCCCACGATGACGATGTCTTGTTCTTCTTCACCTATGTTCATCACTTCTTTTCCTTGACTTTCAATTTCTCTCTCTCTCTCTCTATATATATATAGAACATAGGTTAGAAGGCAAAATTAAAATTTCAAACGAATAAATAAAATATATAAAAATTTAAAATTTTTATAAATAACGATTATCCTCATTTCGATCCATTCCTGTAACAATATATATATCTATTTCTATCTACCTCCGGCCCCTTTGTTTCCGTCTCCCGTATAAAGGATTGAATCTAAGAACATAGGCTGCTAACATAAATTATTTATACAGTGTTGGCTTAGGGTCTCTGAATCAACAAATTGATTTATGTGAAACGTTGTATTTAACATTTCTCTCTTTTTATCATAATTATGTTTAATTTAATTGTTTGACAGACTTTATATCAATAATTTTAGTTCTTTTACTATACACGCCATCTTATGGACAAATAAAGGATTTTCATAGGAGTGATTATTATTTTATCACTTATTAAAATTTATATGTAATATATCAACGGTCTGTTATCACGAAATCATATCATTGCTTAACTTTTAGGTGTGATTATTTTATTTATTAAGGGGTTATAAACACATAAACTAAAACCTATTTTATTGAAAGAGTTAACATTCAATATATTTATTTATTTTATGTATTTAGTCTTTCATTCAAAAAGGACTTCTTGAATCATTAAAAAAGTATGATATATACCGATGATGTATGAGGTATTAGGGTTGTTAGGTTGTTATGACAAAAAGAGTTATTTTTCCAACAATGTATCGTACCTTAAAACCAATAATACCTCGATTCTTAAAAGTTAAACCTCCACCTTCGAACAAAGTGATAAGAAGTAATTTCAAACTCCCATCACTAATACTCAGTACCTCGATTCCTAGAAAAGCACAACACATTCACACAAACTTTTTAGTTCAACCAAATTGTTGCAGCATCCTAGGAAAAGTATTACTTACCCTTAAAACCTTTGGAAATGTAACCCACCTCTAACCTCACTTATCCTCTCAATAATACCAGAGCCTACGATTGGCAAACTAATAGATAAAAAATCAGCCCTGCATTGAAGCCGTTCCAGGAAAGAGAGTCTCGCAGCAGAGATATGCTATGAAATAATGAAGAAAATGCATCACAAGACCTATAACTAACACACAACAGTCACCTTTGGTAGTAACTAATCTTGCTTCCGATTTTATGCATATGTATTTGACCGGTGGATTCAATTTCCATGTCTAGGTGCATCCAGCTAGGACTAGGATGGTGCATTCCTCTTCTTGAATGGGCAGGATTTGCTTTTGATTAAGCGTAATTATAGTTATTGCTTATGTAACTTTTGTTTGTGGTGTTGACACTTTTACCAGATTAAGCGTAATTCCTTATTTGAAATGTTTATGAAAGTGATTTTAACCTAAAAGTTCATTTGAAATGCAAAATCAATCTCAAACAATTCATTTTCAGTTAAAATTTCACGTTTAAAAAATTATTATTGACTCAAATCAAGAAGATAGAAAAATGGTGTTTTTGCGTTTAAAAAACTTGTCTGAAAAAACATTTATTAGCAATTCAAAAATATTTTTTTGGATAAACACATCATGTTAATATATATATATATATATATATATATATATATATATATATATATATATATATATATATATATATATATATATATATATATTTTTGTATATGGAAGGACATAAATAAAATTGATTTGGTATTAATTTTGATTTGATATTGACTTTGATAATTAATTTTTAATTATTTAACGATAAATTTTGATTGGTATTAATTTGGATATTTTTTTAATTTGACATTAACATTGATCATTATTCTTGATAATATTAATTTGGATGCCTAAGCTTGGTTTGATATTAGTTTTAATCATTAATATTGATTTAATATTAATTTTGGTCATTTATTTTGATTTGTGTTAAGCAAAAAGAATTATGAGAGTGTGGTACAGATGTGTGAATACGTGATGTTGAGTTTGTTATATTGTGGGTCTCTTTGTACGCTAGCTGGAGTACGATTATGCGGTGAGAGGAGTATTCGACAAGTATCCTATATATATATATATATATATATATATATATATATATATATATATATATATATATATATATATTTTTGTATATGGAAGGACATAAATAAAATTGATTTGGTATTAATTTTGATTTGATATTGACTTTGATAATTAATTTTTAATTATTTAACTATAAATTTTGATTGGTATTAATTTGGATATTTTTTTAATTTGACATTAACATTGATCATTATTCTTGATAATATTAATTTGGATGCCTAAGCTTGGTTTGATATTAGTTTTAATCATTAATATTGATTTAATATTAATTTTGGTCATTTATTTTGATTTGTGTTAAGCAAAAAGAATTATGAGAGTGTGGTACAGATGTGTGAATACGTGATGTTGAGTTTGTTATATTGTGGGTCTCTTTGTACGCTAGCTGGAGTACGATTATGCGATGAGAGGAGTATTCGACAAGTATCCTATCAAGTCTATATAATAGACTGATTCTAACTTGCTTTTTTAACCCCTTTTTCATCAATAATAAAAGAAGTTTTTTAGATTTCAACATGGTCTCGTCCTGCTAAAAGGTCCTGGGTTGTGTGGCTTCCTCTTTGTTGTGCCTTACCGGTGATGTCGTTCTCCGGTGATTCTGGCAGTGGTGGAGTTTTCACCAACAAGCTGGTTAGTGTGGTTTTGGATGAATCCAATTATCTGTTATGGAAACAGCAAGTCTTGCTTTCCGTTCGCATCCACCGCTTGGAGAAACTTCTCACTGGTGGTTTTCGCCCGCCGCCTGCCACGGTGGTTCTTGAGAATGGCTCAACCATGGACAACGATGCATATGAAACCTTTGTTGCCCAAGACAGTGCATTGGCATCTTGGCTCGTCTCAACTGTTGGTCTGTCTTTTCTTCCCCACCTCGTCGGAGATCTGGTTGAAGATTACTAAGTTTTTTGCAAATAAATCTCCAACCACGATCACGAATTTGCACTATAGATTGAAGCTAATGAAGAAAGGTAATCTAAACATGAGGACGTGCATCGCTCAAGTGAAGGAAGTGTGCGACGCTTTGGCTGTGTGTGGAGCTCCAGTGTTGGAGTACGAACATGTAATGAATATTTTGAATGGTCTTCCATTGGAGTATCAACCTTTTGTGGTTGTGATTATGACTAGTTGTGAATCATATTCTCTCGAGAATATTGTAGAGTATCAACGAGAATATTGTTTTCATCTTAGTGCAAGTATGGCGAAAAGGACAGTTATGGATTCTTCAGGTGATGGTGTTACGATTTCTCGAGGTAATGATGTGTCGTCTGGAGTAATGACTGGGCAGTTGGTGACTACGGGTTCCTCGTTGGGCAGAGGCCGTGGGTTTCACGATCACGGTATCAGTGTAATGGTCGCATAGTAACGGTTTTAAAGGTCACTGCGACACAATATTAACATAACACAACCGCGACGCAATATTAACATACCGCAACCACCCGCGACAGCAACAAACGTTAAAAAATCACGCCCACGACAGCCGCAACACATTACATAACGTTCGCAGCATCCACAACCGCGACAGATGCCGCAACCGCTATTTTATGCTATGTTCACGATATGACTAGAGGTTGAGGTCGTGCCAGTAATCAATTTCAATGCCAACTTTGTGCTAAACTTGGGCACTTGTTGGCCGATGTTGGTATCGGTTTGATCAGTCGTTTCCGAGTGTTGGTGCCACTGCTGCTCTGAGTGATTCGTCTCACGGTATTCAAAGACCTTCGGTGAATACATACTCCTTTGTCACTAATGTTGTGGGTCATGGTTGTTCTTGTGCAGGTGGTGATATTGTTTCTCATACTGCATTGGTTGGTGAATTTGGTCGGGCTTCTGCGTCCTCTCACTATAATGGTAATCAACGCTACTCCTGGTGTGTTGATTCTGGGGCCACGCACCATATTACCATCAATGCTAATCTTGTTGAGGATGATACCATGTTTCATGGTCTCGGTAAGCTTGTCATTGGTGATGGTAACAAGTTACCTATTACTAGTGTGGTTCGATCTTCTTTAGCTACATATACTCATGCTTTACAATTGGATAGTTTACTTCATGTGCCCAATATTACTAAAAACTTGCTTTCGGTGTTTAAGTTTGCTAGAGACAACAAGGTGTTTTTAGAGTTCCATGCTAGACGTTGTTTAGTTCGTGATAAAGGATCTAGAGCGGTTTTACTTGAAGGCCGTGAGGTTGATAGTTTAATGAGTTTGATACTTCGTTAGCTTGTTTGAAGGATATTCGTATTGAATCAAATGTTTCCTATGTAACTAGCATGGATTATGATGTGTTGCATATGCGACTAGGACATCCATCTCACAATGCCTTGATGAGAGTGAGTAGTTCTTGTAATCTTGCTATTCGGAATACACTGAATAATATTCTTTGTGTTGCATGCCAAATGGGAAAAAATTATAGCTTGTTGTTTGTTGGCACATCATATATCTTCTAATATATCTTCTGATGGGTTTCGGTATTATGTTTTGTTTGTGGATGTGTTTTCCCGTCATGTGTGGATTTATTTGTTGCGTGGTAAGTCACAAGCATTGAGTGCAATTCTCTTGTTTCAACAAATTGTTTAGACTCAGTTTGGTGCGTGTATCAAAGAGGCTTCAAAGTGATTGGGGAGGCGAGTACCGTCGGTTGTCCAAAGTTCTTCAAGATGGCAATATTATTCATCGTGTTACATGTCATCATACGTCTCAACAAAATGGGGTAGTTGAGCGCAAGCATCGTCATGTAGTGGATATGGCTTTTATGTTGTTAGCTCAAGCTTTCTTGCCCTTGAAGTTTCGGTCGTATGTCATTGTGACCGCCGTTCACTTAATTAGTCGTTTACCAACCAAGGTTCTTTCTGGTTGGTAAGTCTCCGTTCGAGAAATTGTTTGACAAGGTACTGAGTTATGATCACTAGGGTATTTAGGTGTCGTTGTTTTCCGTGTTTACGACTGTTTCAATCTCACAAGTTTAATTTTCGAT